TTCGTCTAGAACTGAAAAGAAAAATACATTTAATTAAAATCGATCGCTTGGTTAAATCAAAATGTTTCAATAATTAATCAATCTTTTGATATTTTCTGGGCATCCATTACGTTTGCCTTTACTAGAAACATCTGTGGTTTTTCAAAAATTTCGAAAATATAGGTATCTGTTAATCTGTGCATGCGCTCAGTATACGAAAAGAACGAACTAAATATATTGAAAACTGCACAAGTTTAGTTAGGGCCTCGGACGGACAGAGAAAGTGCCTGCAATAGTGCACCCAAAATTCGTTGAAAAATCCGCTAAAAATACAAATTGACGGCTAGAAGAAAAGAAAGAGACAAACTGCACGTCAACAACACAACACAGCCCTGCAACTCTTTAACCACGTCCTTGAATATGAGAAATGATCACATTTGCTTTGTGCCTTTTGAAAACACTGTAAACATTAAAATCATTGCACTAGCGAAATTAATCCAGGGACGTAGAAAGACCCTGCCACAAAAATTAGATTGAACGCCAATGGTTTACCTCTTTCATAAAGTTCATTATTTATACCATAAATCTGAATTCATGCATGAAAGTTAAGTTTCAAATAAATCACCTGTTGAAGTGATAAGGAAATGAAGAGATTGTGGAAGAATTGGGATGCCAATCCTGGTAGCCGATATCCGGTCTCATTTTGTGAAATGTTTACGATGAGAGTGTCTTTTTACTTCGTTTGCTTACGACTCGACCCTCATTCGTAAAGTTGGTAGATGTCCGATAGAAGATGTCAATAACGAGGATATTTACAGTGGAGATTGGATCCCGTTGCTTGGTGGCAAGCTTAACGGAAGTGGTAAAATTGGTAAGATTCGTTTAAATTTGAAATTTCCGATTTGAAATTGGAATTGTGTAGGTAGTGCTGCCAGCGGTAAAGGTTCCTTCAAACTAGACGTAGTGGAACCGTTTGTAAAGCTAAGAAACGTAGGTCTAGCGCACAGGAGGAAGTTTAACGAAATAACACAGAACTACAACAGTCTTGACCGTGAGTACCAGGATTTCAATGGAATTGTCACAATAGTAGCATGAACGTTCTGCAAGTTTCCGCTGTCTTAAACGTCGACTTGGACGAATGTGACATAACCTAGTTATTCGGATTACTGTGAAGGGTAGCAAAATGAAGGAACCCTATCTTGCCTGATAAAATGAATCGGAAATTAAATATACCGAAGCAAGTTGTTTTATTATAAACTGTCATACTAAGGTACGTCATATCTTAAAAGCGTTGCTTACGTTCACCAGACGAAGCACATACCCGAAGACGAGAATACTTAGCAAGTTTTCTCGTTCGAGTTGCTGTGTGTACGTTAACGGTGGTATGTACACCTCGACAGTGCAATCGGACGGGAACTCGAGCAGGAAACCTTGCTAGAGTAGCGCTCATGAAGCGCTTCGTTTGGTGAACGTAAGCATTATCGTAATCGTTACCATGAAACTTAAAAGGTCTACAAACTTACCTCAAATCATCATATCCATGAAATCTTGGGCGTCTTGATTCCAAAAACGAAAAATGTGCACAAAACGTTAAGTTTTAAACGCGAAAAAGTGAATTTAAAATAGGACGCCATCTTCTTGTTCTTCGGATAACATTTAACACGACACTCAAAAGACCAATTTGCGAACACTTCCCCGCCGGTTTTTGTTACTTTAAGGGTTGAATTTAACAACAAAATCAAAATTTACGTGTTAAGCGTCCCCAGATCCTACACGCAAACGCCGGTTTAAATTCGAAACGAAAAGGAGAAGGGGACGCCATAACTTTTCGTAGTTTAATCTTACGTTTAAACACGGATTTACGTATGATGGACCGAAACGAACTATGTCCCACAATTGCCCCCGTCTTTTATTTGACTTTTTTAAAGTTTATTTTAATATCGCACTTCGCAAATTAACAGAAAACCGAAGAAATGCAACACGCTTGGAAAGACAGTAACGGCAGCAACGACACAGTTGGTCACGTGAGGAAGCTTGTGATCGTGACGTCACAGCTGCAAGACTCGCTACGATTCGTCCATAAAAAAAAATGCACCAATCAAATGCATCCGGCTTTCCGTTCGCTAATTATTCCCGGAATTTTAAAGCGAAGGCAAAATTTCCTTCCCAAGATCTAAAAACTATTGCAATTGCAAAACGTTTTTACACAGAAATGGCGAAATTAACTTCTCTGCTTCCCCTTTATTGGTATACATGCGAATGTCCGTGTCTTTTAATCCAAAACGTAAACAAAGCAATTTCATGGAACCAAAATACGACCCTAGTTGCCCTAATTCCTGAAATGCTGGACTTTCCCTTCGAGGTGCAGGTGTAAGGAACTCGCCCCCTGAAACGGACTCAATATTCCTTTTGTACATCTCTCGAAAGATTTTTATGCACTGTGACTCCCGGTGCTGCGTTCTTCTTTAAAAACGTTCGGCCCTAAGGACTCCCGTGACAATGTTTCGTAAAGGACCATACAGGCTTGCGGTGTTATGTTTGATGGCCCTTTCCTAAACGTTATCATGTTCTAAAACCATTAAATATTTTGGCGGGGGGAGAATTCAGAAATTCCTACAACTACCATTACCTTTTCGTACTCTAGAGGAGATGGCTCAGACCCCCCGGCCGAGTTACATTCTCTCTATAAACGTTCAGTCCTAAGGACTCCCGTGATAGTTTTCTGAAAATGGCCCTCGAGTCTTCCCAAACAAAAACCATCAAATTTAATATTTTGGGGGATAATGTAGAATCGTGAGGTCTGGGTGGTACAAAATGAAAGATTAAGCGTTCCTGTTCCTTCAATTACCATAAGATATTTCGATGAGAAGGTTTGTTGCTCACGTTTGGGATAAAATTATTAATTAATAAATTTATGATCTCCCCAATATTTTTATGGATGGAAAGATCGTGGATTTATTTATTAATAATTATCATAAGATGTTTATGCACTGTGACCCTCTCCTTCAAAACGTTCTCTCTTAAAAAGTCGAATTTTCCTTTTGTAATGAGTATTTTGGGGGGTAAAGGTCAGGGGGAAAACGACGTTCTGGAAGAAGCAGTCACGGTGCTCCCAGTAACTTAGAGCGAAGAGCTCGGTAGCATTGGTCCTAAGTCCTAATATGCCGAAATAAAAACTCTCTTGACTAGCCATCTGTCAACCTACTATAGTCCGGGAAATAGAGACTGAAAATGGACCATTTCCTGCAAAACGAGAAGTAGTTCCAATTTTTTTATTTATAGAAGAATATCTGGTGGTTAAGAATTCAAGTTTTCGACCTCCCACCCCTTGTGCTTCGCCTGTACCACCCTTAAAACCAAAGAAATTTTGTTGGTTTTTTAGTTTTTCAATCATATCTTTTTATAGGTTCACTTTACAACAAAATATTGTTATCAGAAATTGTAGACCATAAAATTTTACACAACTTTGATATACACTACTTTTTTGTGAAATGTTTATTAAAAAACGATATACATATAAATCTCCCTACCCTGCACCCTTACCAAAAGGGATGAATAATAATTCAACTTTCAACCCTTGCTAGTGAGGATATTTGAATCACTGTGAGGTTGTAGCCCTTTGTAATATACGTTTGAAACAACAAAATTATCTCACTTCAGTCCAGCTTCATCCCCCCCCCCGCGGTAGGAATAGAAGTTTAGAAAATATATGTAGGTAATAAGCGTATTACTCTCTAATACTTAACTTATCAATCGCCACAAGAGCGTTTAAATATCTATGCCTACCTCGGGGGATGGGGGGGGGGGGGGGGATTGAAGCTGAACTGAAGTGAGACAATTTCTTAATTTCAAACGTGTATTGAAAAATGCTACAATCTCACAGTGATTCAAATATCCTCACTAGCAAGGGCTGCAAGTTTCATTATGCATCCACTTTGGTAAGGGTGCAGGGTAGGGTGATTTATATGTATATCGTTTTTTAATAAACATTTCACAAAAAAGTAGTGTATATCAAAGTTGTGTACAATTTTATGGTCTACAATTTCTGATAACAATATTTTGTTGTAAAGTGAACCTATAAAAAGATATGATTGAAAAACTAAAAAACCAACAAAATTTCTTTGGTTTTAAGGGTGGTACAGGCGAAGCACAAGGGGTGGGAGGTCGAAAACTTAGATTCTTAACCACCAGATGACTGTCGATGACATGCAAAAGAAATCGGAACTACTTCTCATTTTGCAAGTTAAAACCCTCTATTCCCGGGACTACTAGTGGTGCCCCCTGGTAACGATCTCAACGCTCCTAACGGAACTCTGTCGAATGACAGTAACGCAAACCAAATCCAAGTCGGGGTGGAACAGCTGACGCCGAGAGGGCTGCATGACCAAGGGAGAACTTGATCAGCGAACTCTGGTTATAGGGCGGCTCCCAGTTGCAAAAGTAGCCTTCTGATGGTAAGGGCAAGCTGCCAGGGACCGTTTAAAAGCCCAATCCTCGTGGGAGCGTCGTATAGGACTTAATACAAAAACCGCTCAATCTGTAACGGTAACGGAGGAGTCGCTACCTCCAACCACTGACCACCCAAGTAACACAACGTGCTGTATAATGGCCATCAGTACGTATTTGCAGCTATACTCGCAGCCAAATAGTTTGGCGCAGTTTCTGCGAAAGAAATGTAGCAGCGATGTGAAGACGTACCTACTGCCAAAATGGCGAGTCATAATCAAGCTGCTAAGACGTCACCTCAGCCATTTGGATTGGCAGTGGTGGTTAGAATGTCGAGCAGCAAAAGCGCATCGTTAACGTTAACGTCAGTTAAAATTATGCGCTGTCATAACGTCACGACAGCCAACACTGTGACCAAACTGCAGCCTAAATCTGTTTTTATTAAAAAGGAAAAAAAAATAAAATTAATTCATTATTGGTGTTTCTGCGGATCCTATTTGTTCCTACCATACACATTTTTTTTATTAGCGCGTTTCATACCGTTGGCAACCGCCATCGTTTTCACCTACACATACTTTTTTTAGTAGCGATTCTCTGGAGGTGGTCGGATTCGAACTCCTGCCTTTACCGTCTATAGAAACATACCAAATTGCGTGCATCGAAATATCCATCTGCGCTAATCTGTAACATGACGAATAGTTCTGAACTCGCGAGTGTTAAGCGAAGCGTTGTTTTTGTTTATTAATAGTAGTGTTTTTAATCATAATTTAAGTGTTTGAGCCAAATTACGTTCAAATCAATGCGCGGAAAACTCATACGATGAGATTCATGATTGTATTCTCCAATGACCGTACATCTTGTGCATCTGTTATATGCATTGAAATTCACAACACCTGCAATTAAAATTTAAATTCTGCTATTTCCTATACCTTAGTATCCTTACCTTTTGCAAATGAACGAGCTGGAGTGTCGCAAATGAAGCATCTCACCTTTAAACTGCATTTTATTCCATTAATGAAAATCCCATTCTTTAAAAGAGGTTTTATTTCTTCTACAAATGGTGTTAAATAACCCTGAACACTGGGTGGTTTGGTGGTACCACAATAAATGCCCACTACGAATGGATGCAAGTTTCGCATATTGTTTATTAAACACAAAATGGGCCAAAATTCCATTTTTGTACTGTTGTATATTGGTAACCCATCAATATTGAAACTTAATTCTAAATTAGTTGCACTATCAATCTTAGGTAGTAAGTTAACAATTCCCTTTTCGAGTCCATATTATGCCAATAATGGCCATTGCCCATTTTCGCAATTGTTGTTTCTCTGGGGGTTTGTAAAAGTGTTCTTGATGATTTTGGTAGGTTAGGTAATTTAAGTACATGTAACATCGTTAACAATGCTGTAATGGCAACATGAGAGATATTAAATGAAATGGCCCATTGTCGTAACTTTTCATTGAAATTGTAAGTTATTACATCTTCATCTTGCGAGTCACTGTTATTTCGTAAATAACTTTCTTCAACGCATTCTTGATCGTCACTGTTTGATGAATCGATTGTTTCATCAACTGGTAATAAGGAAAGAGGCAGTTTCTGTAAGTGTATAGGTAAAGGTTTAAAGTAGAATATTGGTTTAAATGTAAAATCACACACCTGATTAGGGATTTGTATATCATTGGTTTCACTTAAATGGTTTACATTGTCCTCAATTAAGTTTATTTCGTACTCTTTCGTAGCATTGATAGTTGTAAAGTCCGACTTCACCGACTTTTTAATGTGTCTATAATAGGTTCCACTTAATTTGAAATTTTTCAATTTTTGAAAATTAGCACTTGAGAGTTTGAACTTCCCCATAACTAATAATAACACCTATAAGAATCGCTTATATACTTATAAACACAAATCAGCTGCTTTTTTAATCCAGAATGCCAGAATTCGCGGCTGAAATGACTAACCTAACTGCCAAATCTCAACCAAACAGAATTTCAAGCGAATTCGCTTTCTTATGAGGTTAAGGTAGCGCTGTCCCACCTAAAATTTAAGCTAAAATGCAGCGCACTTAAATGACTGTCACATGGCAAAATCTGTTGCTTTCTAAGCGATGTGATGACCAAATAACTGCCAAATGGAATTCCAAGCTTATTTTCCAACAGTTGGAACTTTAGTAGCGCTGCTACAGCCAAATAGTAAAGCTACATTGCAGCTTGCCAATATTCAGCGATTAAGGTACTGGGAAAACGTTTTCACAGCTAATTTTTGGCTATGGTGGCATAAAAGTATTTCTCGTGTTACTTGCGAGAGTTCGGGGTCCCAACCAATGCGGTTACAAGGGGATATGTCGCGCTTTCTTCCATAAGCGTTAGGCTTCTTATAGTGTTTTTATTGAATGATAGAAGACAGTGTGGCCATACAGTGGTGTTATTTTCTATTGGTAGTGGAAGATCTGCCATTTTTAACCAAATGCATTGGAGTGGTGGAAAATCGGAATCGATTGTGAGAATAATCTGTCCTATTGTAAAAAGGCTGTAACAAACGAGCCCAAAGGTGATATCTAGCAACCTTTGGACTCATTTGTTTCAGCCGTTGTACAATAGGACAGATTTTCGCGAATATTGTTTTAGTATTGTAGTTGTATATTCTCAATTCTGATAAATGAATCAATTCAAGGACAAATTTGTAAGAACTATGGCGGACATGGAGCATATGGCCACACTATCCCTATACAGTCACTGTACATTTAGCGCATTCGCACCAAGTGCCCACATGCCGGAATTACATTTTCAATTGCGTTTACATCCGTTTATGCGTTTTTAAAATGCCGCCACCGATTGACAAACCCGCCTACTGTCTCATATTTTGTCGTATTTTAATGAAAATACAGATGTACCACTTAGGTCTTAGATTAAACAAGCAAGTAACAAAAACGTACCGGTAGGTTCAACCGCAACTGGCCTTAGATCATAGTGAGTAGCTTTCCTTGGCTTCGGTTTGGCTGCAAGATTTAAGGTGACACTTGCGAAAGGTCGCTTGGCCATATGCAACATTTCGACAACATGTCTCCGTCTCGCCCTCCGAACGTCGGCCGCCTGTTTCGCCTTCCAGGCGACGACGCAAGCTGCCAAAAATAAGAAGAAACACGAAAAGAACACAGAGAAAAACACAAAGAGGTCAATGTGTAGTTGATCTTGTCTAAAAAATACAATTCCATATGAAACTTTTTTATCCAATTCGGGACTGTCGACGGCTTGCAGAACTAAATAAAATCGCGTCGATTCTAAACTGTGATGCTCCTAAACAAAAGAAAATAACTTTCAATCGCTCGCTATCTTTAAAACATACCTCAGGTAACGTAATTACCAATCGATCCTTTAAACCTTTTAATGCCAACATAGTTTTTGGCTGTTCTACTGTTATGTAAGTTCGTAAACCGATTGCGTCTTTCTCGAATGTTACGTCATCAGTTTTCTGAGATCCGTTTTCCCATAAACCGTATTGTGGATCAAAGTCAATTTCGTGAAATCCACTGGTTGCGTTAGGAAAAACAACATAAGTATCGTCATGGGTGCTCATAAATACATTCAGTTTGCCTTGAGTGACATCTATCATTATTCGAATATCTACATTCATGAACCTGGGCTGTACGACAAAGAATACCATTTCGCCTGGATGTAAAGGTTTCGGTTTCATCTTGCATTCATCTGGTAAGAGAAAAGTTACAATTGATGCGATTTATAGTTTACAGCTACCTATCGGTTTAGCATCAAAGCACATTTTTGAATCGACCGACATTTGTTTGTAGCACTGATGACCCGCTTTCGGCGTGCCTATGTAACCTTCTTTGCATTTTGAACATTGAAGCATCCAGCACGGTTGAGCCGAGTTCTTTCCGGACGGTCCCGAAGGGCAGATGTCGCTTTCAGTGTTGTTTTTGCAATTGCATTTTTCGCCAGTAACGGGATCACATATGTCTCCATGACCGTGACAATCGCACAGTCTACAGGGGTCTCGATGATCTTCCGATCCACGAAAGTAGCCTAAAATAATTATTTTGCAATATGAAGACTATAAGAATTGACCCAACCCAACCAACCCAATTACTTCTAAAGTCAAAAGGTGTCACATAAAATTTAGTTAAAGTTCAATCTTCTACTATTTCCTTGAAAAGGTACACAAACATAATTTACTGGTGTCAGAAGTGGAATACGTAAAAAAACGTTGGTATAGTGCATAACAAAGATCGATAGGAAGTATCGGCAGAACTTCTTTAAACACTTTCTGGGATGATTGCTGTCACTATCCATGAATCTACAGGGCAATTTCCTACCAGGAAAGAAAGAACATTATCTCCTCAACCCAGGCCAGCACAGTTCTCGATGCCACCATATTGTGCTGTCAACTGAACCACTATTAGGGACTTTAGTCGGTAAAATGAGTAAGTTTGCATATTGGACTAGCGCTTACGTTGATATTGAGGTTATACATCTTTACCGGAAACGGAAGTTGCTGCGCCAAAAAGAGATAGCAACAGGTTCGGCATGTTTGTCACTGGGTTGACGCTTTTAAGTAGATGTTCTCCATTCCTTCACAAACATGCCTTACCTGCTGTTATCTCGTAGAGCGTCATTCTTGGTTCACCGCCCGCGGTTCATAAAACTAGAAACCTACTTGCTCTTGAACCCAAATGCCATGTGTTAGAACGGCAAAGATGTATAACCTCATACCCATTTTCTGCCTTGATGTTTCCATACAAAGTAATGACCACACCGTATATTTTTTAAGTCGACCAGCTTTGCTGAACACCCGGTATCTAGAAACGGTTTAAGTTGGGCGCTTCGTTACTGAGAAATTATAGTTTCTGATTTTACTTATTTGCTCAAGGAGACGACGAGTGAGCTTTGTGTGTTTTATTTATTAATTGTTTGTCTTGTTTGTCTTGCCGCCGATAGCGAACGTAAATTTCGTAGCGAATTCACCCGTTTTGCAATCGTTCCTGTAGGAATATTTAAATTGTTTTTACAGACCCCGAAAGTTCTTTTGTGTCATTTGTTTTAACCCGTCAGATTCTTGGAGTTGCTATTTATACCGGTTCAGTTTACACCCACAGGCTACTGAAACCGACCTGCCAGAGTGCTGCTACCGCCGACCTCGACCTCGACCAGGTGCGAGGCCATACGCCAATAAAGACTAAACTGTCATTTTGATGCCACTTGCAATACATACGCAGACCGCATAAAATTCCGCGACATTCACCAGATAATAATAAGAATAATAATATATATATTTGCCCAACAGTACAACCAATTATAGAGCAAAATAATCAAACATACAGAAAAATCCCATTTTATCATTAAACACACTTACGTAGTCGTATAGACAAAAAAAAAGTTAGAAATGATGATAAAGTTACTTATTTAAACACATCAGAAATCATTTGGAGGGAGTTGTAATTA